AGTGAAGTAAGTCAGACAGAGAAGGACAAATGTCGTATGATATCACTTATATGTGGAATCTAAAATATGATACAAATGAACTTATTTACAAAACAGAAACAGACACACAGACATAGAAAACAAACTTACGTTACCAAAGGGGAAAGGGGGGGATATATTAGGAGTATGGGATTAGCAGATACAAAGTACTATATGTGAAATAGATAAACAACAAGGTCCTACTGTATAGCACAGGGAACTATATTCAATATCTTGTAATAAACCATAATGGAAAAGAATATATATAACTGAATCACTTTGCTGTACACTGGAAACTAACACCACATTGTAAATCAACTGTACTTCAATTCAAAAAATAATAAATAAATATAAACCTCCCATAGCTCTCTCCCCGACCCACGCTGCTGCCAGGACCCTCAATCATTGTGGTACAGCTGCATAACTCTCACAGTCTTTTGCTAGGACTTAGTAAATTGTTAGGACAAATAACACAGTGTTCCAGCTCCCCAGACTGTCCATACCAGTTAGGAATCCCTCTTCTAACTATATAGTTCGGGTGCTCTGTTGCTGAGTTTCTTTAAATGATGTGAGGATTTTAGTGTCCATATCTAGGACTCTGTGATTTGAAGGCATAGGAATAAGATAAGAACGAGTTCATATTTCACTGGGGTTTTTATTTGGTTCAAAATTAAAACAGACACAAAGATTGGATTCTTTCGCTCTGAACTATTTCTTTGATGATTTGTGTTCTTGCCCAAGGCTGATTCTTATAAACTTTGGAGGGTTTTTCTACCCCTAAGATTCTTCTCTGGCAGCCCCTCTTCTGCCCAAATTCCTCAGGAAGCGGCACAATGATGGGGAAAATGTAAGCTTGGTTTAGCATCTTTGTAGTTTGTTTACATTTTAAACACCCATGCTTTAGAGTTGGATAAACCAGTTGGGCTCAAGACCTGGTCTGTAACCTTGGGGAAGTTACCTATACCTCAATTTCCTCATCTATAAAATGTGGATAATTGCATCTCTTTTCCAAGGTGATGTTCTTGAAGTGCAACCATAGGGAAGTACCTAGGCCAACACTTGGCACAAACCAAGAACTTAGTAAAGCTGCTCTTTTCTCTCACTCTCCACTTTCACCCCTTCTATGGGAATGAATATCAAAACCATAAAAGTAAATTGTCTGTATTCACCTCTATTCTTGTAGAGTTCTTATTGAATATTTATTTTTTCCTGATTTTTTTTTTTTAGGCTCGGCAATACTCAGCCATAAATAAAGAATCCACGTTACATGAATAACATTTAAAAGCTAGCTTTGCATCCAGCTTTGTCATGGTGCACGCCCCTGGCTGCCACTACAAAGGGCAAGACTGAGACCAATGAGTCAGAGTTTCAGAGTTTTCCTTTTGACCATCTTACTGGAAGCCACTCTATACATAGGATCCTACCCCAGGGAGGTCAGCATTTCTCAGGGTAACTCAGCCACCAGTACCTATAAGCTTTATCTTGAAACCAATAATCATTTGCTAACATGCTATTCTCCCAGAGTCATAAACCAGAATCCTGGAGGGGTTTGCAACAGTGTTTGTGGTTTGCAACAATGGTTGGCAAACTACCACACAAGGGACAAATCTGGCCCACTTCCTGCTTTTATACACCTGGGACCTAAATGATACATACTTTTTTTAATAATCAAAAAAATAAAATAAAGAGTAATATTTCATGACATATGAAAATTATATGAAATGCAAAGTCTGGTGTCCATAAATAAAGTTGTACTGGAACAAAGCCACAACCATTCATTTGTGTATTGTCTATGGATCCTTGCATGGTACAGGGGCAGAACTGAGTAGTTGCTACAGAGACTGTACGTCCCACAAAACCTAATTTATTTACCATCTGGCCCTTTACAAAGTTTGCTGCCCCCTGATACGGGGCACAGACTCCAGGAGCCAGACAGCCCGGTAGCATAATTCAGCTCTGGGCAAGTTCTCTCACCTCCTCTGTACCCTCAACTGGATATAGAGGATGATAACAGCATCCATCTCATGGGGTTTTATGAGGATTAAGCAAATATATGAAGCACGTAGAAGAGGGTCTGGCACATATTAAGTACTATATATGTGTCTGTTACTATTAGTTGCCACAATTTTTTTCATGGACTAAAGCAGCAGCAGCTTACCAATTTGTTAGCAATAATTGTGAGAATTTCATTTGTAGCACTCCATTAAATTCAATTCTTTAGCAGCGGGGCAGTAGGAAGGTGTTAAAGACAACTGAAATGACAATGAACATAGATGTTTTTCCACAAAACTAATTCTGCATTCTTACAAATATTTTTTATGCTATATGCTTCTTTCAAACTTGAGTCTTGAAGGAACTTACACTCAACTTTGAATTCAGCCCTCACCTCTATTCCTTACAGTTGGAAAACACAGACTTCAAAACCGAGGCTAAGGAACAGAAGAGAGAGCCCAGAAATAAATCCATGCATATACAGTCAACTGATCTTGGACAAGAATGCCAAAATTACACAATAGAGAAAGGATGGCCTCTTCAACAAATGGTGCTGGGAAAACTGGATATCCACATGCAAAACAACAAAATTGGACCCCTATCTTACACCATACACAAAAATCAACTCAAAGTGGATTAAAGACTTAAATGTAAGACCTAAAACTTCTAGAAGAAAACTTAGGGGGAAAGCTTTGTCACATCGGTCCTGGCAATGATTTCATGGCTATGACACCAAAAGCACAAACAACAAAAACAAAATAAATAAGTAGGACTACATCAGACTAAAAAGCTTCTGCACAGCAAAAGAAACAACAGAATGAAAATGCAAACCATAGAATGGCAGAAAATATTTGCAAACCGTATATCTGACAAGGAGTTAGTCTCTAAAATACATAAGGAACTCCAGCAACTCAATGGTAAAAAAAAACAAAACTAATAACCCAATTTAAAAATGCGCTAAAAACTTAAATAGACATTTTTACAAATGAGACATACAAATGAACAGCAGGTATATGGAAAAATGTTCAATGTCACTAATTATCAGGGAAATGCAAATCAAAACCACAATGAGATATCACCTCATACCTGTCAGGATGTCTATTATCAAAACAAAAACAATAGACAATAAGTGTTGGCAAGTATTTGGAGAAATTGGAACTCCTGCACATTATTGGTGGGAGTCAGAAATGGTGAGGCTGCTATGAAAACAGTATGGAAGTTCCTCAGAAAATGAAAACTACCATATGATCTAGCAACCCCACTTCTGGGTATATATTCAAAATAATTAAAAACAGGATTTCAAAGAGATTTTACACCCATGTTCACTGCAACATTATTCACAGTAACCAAGATGTGGCAGCAACACAAATGTCCATCTATGCAAGAATGGATTTTTAAAAATGTAGTATGTACATACAATACATTGTTATCCAGCCTTAAAAAAGAAGGAAATCCTATAATATTTTACATGATTGAACTTCAAGGACAGTATGCTAAGTGAAACAAGTCAATCACAAGAAGACAAATATTGCATGATTCTACTTATATGAGGCATCTGAAGTAGTCAAACTCATAGAAACAAAGTAGAATCGTGGTTGCCAGGGGCTGAGAGGAGGAAATGGGGAGTTGTTCACTGGCATAGATTTTTAGTCATGTGAGAGGAAACGTTCTGGAGATCTTCTGTACAACACTGTATGCTTTTAACAATAGTGCATGGTACACTTAAAAATTCGTTAGGCTGGTAGATCTCATGTTGTGCTCTTACCACAATAAAAAATAGTAGGGAGAAAAACCCCCAAAACTCTACATAGGCCAAAGGACTCATATGTCTAATCAACGTTGATGATGGCTGTGGTATTTGAAAAGAGTAATCAACTTCCTGAATCAAACACAAAGCAAGTAATACATAGTTTACTTGATATAAGACAACAGGGACTATTAGAATTTTCTCACAATTCAGGACTTTGGCTTTTAGCATTTGGGTATCCAAAAAGAGAACTTGAGAGGGAAGTTTATACATAAGAGTAAAACAATGACCCTAGTGAGAACACAGACCAGGAACTCAGTACGGAGGAACTCGGTCCACCACGGTGAACAAGCACAGTACCTCGCACAGCAGGTGCTCCAATATTTGTTAAATGTTCATGACTCATTCAATTTTTCTGTGCAACCTCCATAGCAAATACTGCGAATCTTGCTCGTTATTGCATTTCTTAAAACGTTAAAATTCAGAAAAACATTCTGCGTGACTGAAATTACAAACAAAAATCTCACATATGAATTGCTTCAAACTGTTTAGGTGAAAAAGAAAACTGTGAAGTAAAGAAAACCGTTTCCTGAATCAACTGAGTGAAGTTCCAAGTTCCAGCTCTCTCACCCTCCTGAATATTTACCAGCACACTCTCAGCTTGCGCTAAACTTTTCTTGCATAAAAAGCAGCTGAATAATTTTGGAGAATGGGATTGTTTTGCCTAAATCATCCAGATAATTCAAACAACTCAATTTCTAATAACAATCTGGGCGAGGCTGCTCTGCCCAGTAAATGCTCTCTATACTCCCCAGGCCACAGCCTAGTCACACCCAGCTTAGCCAGGAGATGACAGTATCCCCTAGAAAGGAAACACGCCCTTATTGTTCAGTGATAAGTGCCACCGCCAGCCAACGTTCCCCCGCCCTCTGTTCCTCGAGTTTATTCCAGTTTCCCGAGGGCGCTTTCAAATTTTGATTTTTCGACTACGACGTCTCCTTTCCCCGAAAGCATATAAGAGCTGCCCTAAAGCCTTCAGCCCCTTCCCCCAATACCGCACTCTGCTTAGAGCCCGTAGGCCTGTCCAGTAAAGTTATTTAAAATAAAAAGCGTAACAGAAGATGTCCAAGCAGGAAGAGAAAAAGAACACCCCGGGAACTGGGTTAGTGTCGGAACGTGCCATTCGTTTCAAAGGGAGGAGAGTCCCAGGTGCGAACTGTATCGCGGGTCTGAAGTCACTTACCGGACCTCCGATTCGTCAGGGCCTGAGTACATAAAACACCAAAGACCGGGCGGAGCGCAGGAAGGGGCGAGGGGCCGGAAGTGGAGCCTAGCAGGGCCGGCGGGCCTGAAGCGCGTCCCCCCGTGGGGTCCGGTGGTGCGGCCCGAGGCGGCCGCGGCGGGGAGGCGGGAGGCGCAGGGCTGAGGCACAGAGGGCAGCATGGCGTATCCCGGGCACCCTGGCGCCGGCGGCGGCTACTACGCAGGCGGGGTGAGTGCTGCCCTCCCGGGCTCGCGGCCGGGGTGCGACCCCTGGACGCCGGGGGCGCCGAGAGGCCACACGTGGCGACTCCGCCGGGGCGGCTCCCGGGCGCCCCCGCCCTGCCAGCCGCCTCTCCCCAGGCCCCTGCCGACCGGTCTCTGTCTCCAGCGCCCTCTTTCCCTCTGTCCCTTCTCCCCTCGGCTGGCTGCGCGGGGCCGGGGCGCGGGTAGTTTTGACCCAAGAAGCCCACCCTGTGACTCCCGGATCCGCGGCGTGAAATCGTGCACATGGGGTGTTGCCTTCCTCTCCGCCTTCCCTGAGAGCAACAGCCATTTTAATCTAGAATGGTCCTGCGGTTCACTTCTCCCTCTCTGAAAGAAAGTGGGAAAAACAGGAAAGTCAGGGAAGGTCCGTTAGAGTCAAAGACCTCCGGGAGGAAGGCCGCCTCGCCCTGCGTCGGGGATGCGCGTCGTCGTGGGAACTGTTTCCAAAAGAGAAAGTTCCCTCGCCTTGACACACCTCACCCCTCCCGAGGCTACACCTGTTTCAAAACGCTTTAAAAATACCGTAAACGCTAGAAAAATGTAAGTTGCATGCCCAGGTTGCGTTTATCTCAGTAGCCTGCGGGTTAATGGGGGTTTGTAAAGTTGCTTCACTCACACTGATGTCACTGTCAAGACTACTCATTTTGATGCTAGCTGCCGGTTTTTAAATTATAACTGGTGGCAAACGACTGACAGCGAAGGCCTGGCAATTGCCTGGCTTTGCATGAGGCACTCAGTGGTGAAAGAATAAAACTTGGTCAGCGGAATGATGCATTTGTTTCCTGTTTTACAGTATGGAGGGGCTCCCGGAGGGCCTGCGTTTCCCGGACAAACTCAGGATCCGCTGTATGGTTACTTTGCTGCTGTAGCTGGACAGGTTAGCTTTTCCCTTTAACATTAAAGGACTGTCAGATTCTACATTTGTATTAACCTTTGTTAGAGTGGCACAGAAAAACAGCTTTTCCTCTGGAAAAGAATTCCTTGCTTCCGCACAAGTTAAAAAAAAGAGAAAGAAGTTCATAGGCAGTTACTTATTTTTGAATATTCAGAACAAATTAGGACAAAGGGTTACTCGTGTTTATGTTACTTTCAGAACTAAACTTGTGATTGAATTAGGGTCAGATTCAACAGAACAGGCTAGTATAAATGTGCTTTGAAGATATGTAAGGTAGAAAGATGTCTTTAGAACTGAATTGTCAGGGTCCATAGTGGTTTCCAGAGAAGAAATACCAGATCTGCTGAACGTTAAACCCTTCTTTGTACAATTAAAAGCATGTGGTACTAGTAATTCTGTAGCCAGATTCTAGGGGACACTTTCTTTGGGTAGAGTTTGATTGTTAACCAGTTACCCCCTTAGGAAATAGGTATGTATGGTAAAAACCCACCAGCTTCAAAATAAGAAAGGCACTATATTCTTCTTACTTCAGGAAGTTAGTCTTCTGAACAGTTTAGTTCCTCTTTGATGCAGATGCTGTTACCAGGTCACATCTTTCATGTCCTTATCAGGTGTTGTGGTCTGTTGACCCAGCGAGAGAACTAAGGTCAGCACCCCAAGACCATTCACTTCTTTACATTCTAAGTCATATGACAGGCGGTAGTGCATCTTGAGGGAGGCCCCTTCCCCAGCTCCCAGGTCAGTGAATGTATATGGTAAATATACTGTTGGTATAACCCAAACATGTCCAGAGGGGGTGTCTGTGCTTATGAATTCAACTTAGCTTTGTTTTGATCAAAAGCTAGAAATAACACGATCTTAATGTGAAAATGCCTTAGACTATTATGGAATTACAACCACCTTTTAGAATAGCACTCTAAGAAATACCATTTGAGAAACACTGGAAAATTGAGTCTAAAACTGAGAGAGCTGCCCCTTAAGTATCTGCTTCATCTGTTAGTGATCAGTATCTTTGAAACCACAAGACATGGCAAAGCTCAAGACTCCTTATTCTTAGATTGCCTGTGCCTGCAGCCATGTAAGTGACCCCCCCTGCTTAGCTTTCAGCAGCCCTGGCCTGCAGGAGCATGCCCATCGTTTTTCACATTATTGATCATGCCCCTCGTCTAGAACATATAATAGTCATGGACTTGAGGATTGTATTTTATTTTAAAATCCCTATAAATAACATGTATCTAGTTGTGACCTAGGTCAGCCAGTGAATAAGCACAGGGAACCTGTCCCCCAGGTATAATCGTGATCCCAAAAAAAAAAAACAGTTCATCACATCATAAGCAAAGGTGATCACAGAGGACGCTTTCTGTGGGAACCAGACTTTTCATTTACTGATGTCATCTGTGTACCCTGCTCTCCACACACCCTGACAAAAAAAAAGCTAGAAAGAGTAATAAGACTTTTAATCAACTACATAAATAATTTTATTTTAAAATGCTTGCTTTGGCAGATTCCTAGCTCAGACTGAGAGCAGTTCAAGACAGAAACTAGTTTTATTCATGTCTCAGTGGAAGAAACTGAATTCACCTCACTGTTTTATTAAAAGAGGAATCTTATACTTGAGAACATTTATGCCAAGTCTAATTCGGGAATTTAGTACTACCAATACCTTTTCATCATTTCCTCTAAAGTATAGGTGTAAGCAGCTTTCAGACTTGGTTAATTCTTGTGTAATGATTATTTAAAATAAAGCCTGAAATTGAATGCCCACTTTACCTAGGTATTAAGAAATGTATTTTTTGTTTATGGCCCTAATTATACATTTGTGGAAGAGGCCCTAACAATTTGTCTTTCTTTCTGTAATTAAATTGTTATGGGAAGTAGAGTGAGGAAAAAGAATGCCTACTTTTAGCAGGCATCCCTTTAAAAAAAGTCTCATGCATGATGATATTCATTTTCTTTACCATTATTGCTACACTGAATACTGAATGTAAACAAAGAACTAGAAAGTACAAATCACGATTGTGATTCCTTTTCCTATTTTTTTTTTTTTTAAAGGATGGACAAATAGATGCTGATGAATTGCAGAGATGCCTGACACAGTCGGGCATTGCTGGAGGATACAAACGTAAGTTAGGAGCCCCAAAGTGTCTCTAGAAATACTCTTGTATTTCATATTTCAGATGTTACTTGTGATTATTATAGCCTTCAAGGAATCTGAGCTTTTCTGATCCAGCAAAGTTAAGAATTTCAAAAGCTGAATTCGGTTGGTTCTTTTGTATTTTAAAATGTTAATTTGAAAACAGTTCTTACTGAATCATTCCACACTACCCACCGATTTAGTGGGTTTCTTGGATTTGGGTTCCATGTATCTGGAACCATTCAAACCAATGACAGTCTATATGGCCTCCTCAGAAAATGAGGTAAGGTGCTGAAATGAAATCCACCAGGTCAGGTGTTGTTAATGATAGGAGCTAACATTCACTGCTGACTGTTTGCCAAGAGCTTATTCTGTCTCTGAGCCTGGTGGCACTTAGGGCTTTGAGTGGCCTGTCCTGCATGCCTAGTTCTGAGTAGTTGGTCCTACCCTCCCTTTTCCCCAGTGCCTGGTCCCCAACCCCTAGTCCTCAGGGAGCCAGTTCTGCACTCCTGGTCTCAACTCCTGGCAGCATGAACGCTCACCTTGACATCCCCCAGGTCTTTCCTCTTTCTACATCAGGCTAAGTAAGACGTGCCCTTCCTAATTTCTAAACTCTTTACAGTAATCCTCCTTCCTGCCACCCCCCAGTTCCTCACAGACTGCCCCTGTACTTACACCTGCTTCCTGCCTTTTGATTCTGCATGAGCTGCAGAGAGGGAACTCCTGCCAAGATGCTGCATCCCACACATGCCACATGCTTCTCTTCAAATCATGTCTTGACCATGATAGAGAATAGTGTCTTGGCTAATGTACATGACCTACCAACTTCTCTGCCAGTTGTTAACTGAGACAGAACATCAGATCGAAGCCTCAACTTTCCAGTAAGCTGTGAATTAAAACACTCAAACTAGGGAATTCCCTGGCGGTCCAGTGGTTAGGACTCGGTGCTTTCACTGCGGTGGCCCCGGGTTTGATCCCTGTTTGGGAGCTAAGATCCCTTAAGAAAAAAAAAAAAACAACACTCAAACTAGAATTCACAATTGAGGACCCGTAGTGGCCATTTTTGACTGTTTGATATGGCACAGTTACTAGGTAGCTCTCTTTTTAAACTACTTGCATATCCATTTTTTTATCATCCTTTGTTTTATGACTTCAGTATCCAATTAACATTTCCTAGTTGTGGGAATTAATACAAAAGAGGAACCTTTTGCATTTCTGTCATCTACCCTGGTCCTAAACAAAAGAAGCCCTTTCTAGATTAGGGAATTTTTTTTTTTTTTTAACTATTGTAGGCAATACATTTAAATCATTAGTTGTTAACCTCAAGCAATTGGAGCTGGTGAACAAAGAAGGTCTAATAGCAGGGTTTACAGAAGTGAGCCATGTCACAACATAGACTATTATCTACACCCTTTCAGTAGAAGAGGTGTGGCCGGTTTTCAAATCGAACAAAGTGGGCAGTATATCCTTGGAGAGCAGTCCTTTTAAAAATTTCATTTGAGAAAGCTGCATTTACTAAAGATCTTAGATCACTGAGTTATAGAAAAGACATATCCTGAATCATCTGGATCATGTGATTGAATTAATTTGCTTGCTGTCATCTGGTTATGGAGGCTGTAATGAACCACAAAACCATCTTGGTTGTGAGATGTCAGAGTGAGTGTTGTAATGCAGAAGTTATACAGCCGTTGGTCTTTTCAACCCAGCTTCCAAGCCAGAAAGTGCGGACGGGTGCTAGGGGTGGCAGGGGGGATAGAGAAACCTATGGCACCTTCTTAACCAGTTTAAGAGGGAGCAGTCATGCCTAGAGGTGGCGCTGA